ATAAATAAATAAGAATTTTTAAAAACTTAAACTGAACAACTTTTTAAATAAATTTGGTACTATGAAACAAAGGATCACTACATCTCTTCAAACTTCATAAAGGTAACCAAAAGAGTAAATTGTCTTGGCACCTACAAAAGTTAAGATGCGGGCTGGGGATTTAGCTCAGTGGTTGAGCTGCCTGCTGCGCAAGCGCAAGGACCTGAGTTCGATTCCCCGGTACCTAAAAAAACAAAAAAAACAAAAGTCAAGGTGCAAGCACTCTGACTTCTCAGCCCCTACTATGAGAAGGCTTTAATGGTTTCCTCAAGGTGGCGAATCAGCTGACCGCAACATATTTAACGCAAATGTCTTACTGCAAAAACAAACTGGTGATCCGGCATTTATGTGACACTTTCCTCCGAGCAATTCCAAGCACTTAATTTTACAACTGTTTAGGAAAACAATTACTATTATTACTATTATTCTGTGAAACCTTAACTCCTTTGCCTCTTCAGACACGTACACAGTGGGAAAACCCCAGAGCTAGGTTTTCTGATAGCTGGGACGAACTCTTCAGGTGTCCAGGAGGGGTCCAGGAGAGGTAAGGAGAGGGAAGACTCAAACAGGGTAACGGACAGGGAAAGGTAGGGTGGAAAGCGGAGTTAAGTTCTAGGGACAGCGAATGCCTAAAGGTCTGAGCTCAGAGGAGGCAGGAGAAGGGAAGGTGAGGAGGGGACTCAGCTAGAGCCCCTTAAACTGGGTGGATGGAGAGCCAGATGCGAGGGTAGCGGGCCGGCTCCTGGCATCTGCTTAGCAGGGCTCGCTCAGCCCTAGTTCTCTCCCACTAGCGCTACCAAGGCACTCCGAGCCGCTCGCCGAGAAAGGGTGGCGGAACCAAATAACTCCAGGGCCCGCGAGGCCGCACGATTCCCCTCTCCCTACGCAGCGGCCGGGCCGCCTTCTCCTCCCCCAGGCCACCCTGCGTCTCACCCGCCGCCAGGCGAAAGCTGCGCAGGTTCCCCATGGCTGCCACTCCGCAGACCGCACAGCACCTTGCTCAGCGGCAGCGGCGCTGGCGCCCTCAATGTCACCGAGCGCCGGCGTGGGAAGGACGGGAGCGGGCGTGGGGCGGAGCCGGCGTGTGTGCGTGCGTGACGCGCGGGGCGTGTGGTACGTGCGCGACGGGTCCGGGACACTGGCGGCGCGACCCGTTCCCGGCTTGAGGCCGGCTGCGGTGGAGTGGAGGCTCCGGGGCGTTTGCCTTAATCAATGTAGAGGAAACGTGGAAGAGAAAGATGGATCTTTTGTGAACTGTAAAACTCCGGGAGTACGTCTTCTAGATAAGCCGATACTTCAATATATTTATTGTTCTTCCAACTGTTTTCAACGAATTTATCCTTTCATCAAAACAGAATTGGACTCAGGGCCCAGTTGCCCGGGGTCTTGGCTTTTGGAACGTCTGTCAGGCTAACCTGAGAAATTGACGTATTTTCCATTTTGTTTTCTGTTAAAACATCTAATCATTTCCACCCCTTACCCACCCACACTACCAGAAATGACCCTTGTTCATTGACGCTTCCTACTGGTCTCATAAGGTAATCCCGGGAAAATGGGAAGGACTAGAAAAGGCTCACTTTTTTTTCTCCCTTAGATTCTTTTATTGGTATATTTTAGGTATACAATACATTTACATTTATCATTGGGTACTTATACCTTTACATGATGTATCTTGTTTCTTATTTTTTCCGCATTCTCTGTCCTTTCATCCCCTCCACCCTTCCCTATTTACAAAGACTTTGTTTGCATTTTTTACTTTTCTCATAATTTTTCCTTTCCCTTCTTTCCTTTCCCCTACTCCTCCCACTTGCCCTACCCCTTTGGACCTTTTCTTCCTATTTCACATTATCAATTATTCATTTTAATCATTATTTACACTTTCAGTTTCTCACACCAGAGAAACTATTCGGTATTTACACATGTGTTTCCTATTTATTTCACTTAAGAGTATGTCCTCAATATGCATTCATTTAGCTATAAATGTCTCTAGTTTCTCGTTCTTTATGGCTGAGTAGTACTCCATTTTATATAAAAAAAATCACATCTTTATCCAGTTTCCAGTTGTTGGGCACTTGGGCTGTTTCCAACCTTTCGCTATTACAAACTGTGCCACTATAAACAAGGGTGTGCATATATCACTGTGGTATGACTTTTAATTCTTTGGGGAAGATCCCCAGCAGGGGAATAGCTGGGTCAAATGAGATCTCTAGTCCTAGTTCTTTGAGGTATCTCCATACTGATTTCCACAGTGGTTGCACCAGTTTGCACCCCCACCAACAATGGAGAAGGGTTCCTTTCTCCCCGTAACCCCACCAAAATTTGTTATTGATTGACTTCTTCTTAGCAGCCATTCTTTCTGGGGTGAGGTGGAATCTCGGTGTTGTTTTCATCTGTATTTCTTGAATGACCAGTGATGTTGAAGGTTTTTTCATATGTTTATTTGCTGCTTTTACTTCTTTGTCTGAGAAATGTCTGTTCATTTCAGATGCCCATGTTTGAATTAGGTCTTTAAATTTTGGAGGTCTGATTTTTTTCTGTTCTTTATATATCCTAGATAGTAGTCCTTTGAGGTACAGCTGCTAAAAAATTTTTCCCACATTGTAGGTTGTCTGTTAGCTCTGTTGGTGGTTTTTCCTGCAGTGCAGAAGCTTTTTAATAAGATAAAGATCCCACTTGTTGATTCTTTGTGCTAGTTCATGTCCTACTGAGGTTTTGTTTCATAAAGTCTTTTCCTATGCCAATGTCTTCAAGAGTTCTT